TATGTAAGTACAAATAAATATGTACTATGTATGTACATTTGTATGTACCGTGTCTGATGTGTGTCCATATATTCATATATGGCAAATATTTCACAGCCAATTTCGCATCCTTACACACAGTTTCTTCGTCGTTGGTTCTGGACTCCGTCTTCGTCTTCGTCTTCGTCTCCGTCTTATTCTTGTACTCCCTCTCCATGCTGCTGCTGTTGCTGGTCTCCTTTGCGCTCTCCTCCTCTTCGTCTTTGTCCCCTTGCTGGTCCTGGGCAGGGACAACATCCACTATTGTGCATACAAACTGTAATAAAAAATTCAGTCCACGTCTCAAGCACTTATTGATACGTGAGCATAGATGACACACAGGCACACACACACACAGGCACACAACTGGCATAAGTAGCGCATATATATGCATAGGATCTGTATGCCAAAGGGGAGCGTGGGGCAGCAGGCTGTTGACCCAAAACAACAATTACTGACCCTGAAAAAACCGGCCATCAATCGGCATACAAAAAATGGCGTGAAAAATCCCAAAAATACTTTCCCGCCTAACAATGCAAAAAAGAAACCAAACCAAATTTCAGCAAAAAAAAAAAGACAAAATTCAATACAAAAAAGTGCGGAAATTTCGGATAAAAAAAAGACAACAAAATTCACACAAATGCGAAATGCATTCTTAGCTCAGATTTTTTGTATGCTTTGTTAAGGTTTAAGTAAATAGTTAAAAAACAAAAAACACTCAAACTGTTTGGTTCGAGTCAACTTTGGCTTGCATATCTTTCAGTTATCAAAAATCAATTGAAAGTGCATGCATTTTATTTGTTTATAAATATGTATGTTAATTATTTGCGAATCATTTGCAAATATTTAATTGTTTTATGCGATACCACACAGGCTGCGAGGGTATTTGTGGTGCAAACAAACAAACTGAATCCAAATGGAAAGTCGTCTCCTGTCCTGCCGTGCGTCTGTGTCAACAGCAGGCAGGTAAATGCCATTAAATATGATGCGCATATTTCTGTGACACGAACACAGAATGTTTTAATTAATTAAATTAACTAATAATCGGTGCGGTTGCTGTGTCTCGCATACGCTCATGTAATATAATATACCAAAAACTTGCACATCGGCTAATTATTCAATTAGTCATTACATTAATCATTGCTCCAAATGGAATACCAAGCGCAGAGCTTCCTTGAATGCTCACAAATACGACTCGGATCTATTTGAACAACAAATGTTGAATAAAAGAGAGAGAATGAATGAACATTTGAGTTCTTATCATAATTTCTGGAACATTTATTGGTCTTTGACAAAGCTTGGAGGGAAATATTTAGTCAATCATTTGAGTTCTCAAAGAACAAGGAGAAGCGACACTGTCAAAGCGTTTTTGCAATTTGTCCGCTAATGGGTGGATCCAATTACCATCCACTACATCTACATCTACATACATGTTTACATATGTACATTACATACATATGTTTAGCTGCATGTGTGATGCATGCAGCACATTTTATAGCACAAGTCAACTTGCACATCGAAATCCAATACGTGCCATGTTGTTAAAATATTTCTGTTGCAATCACAAATAAAAAAGGATAACTATGTATGTATGTGGGTACATATGTATGCATGTAGACATGTATGTAGATTTACATTAAAACATTCTTCTGCATTAGGGTACATATCTTATTTGTGCCTGTACATATCTAATTGAATTTTCATTATTTTTCGATTATATTTTTGTTACATTTTTGCAGGAGATTTGCTCTAGGTAGAGGGTATCCCTCCGTTTGATAGCCCAGGGCCAATGATGCTCCCACTTGTTTCATATCGTTTTGTGGTATTTTCGCTATTATGAACAATAAATGAATTGGTATTGGATTAATTAATTGGTAAATTGCAGTCAGAGACACGCACGGCGCTATTGAAGGACGCTCATAAGGAGCATTGATATGTACTACATATTTAACTACATATATGTACATATGTACATACAGTACTATGTGTGTAAATCGACGCGAACAAATCAATTAACATTATTCATTGAAAGACAATTAATTCCCATAATTAAGTCTTATGCAATGCGCTGAGACCCTTTGAAGTGAATGAATGCCAACAAAAGACAAAACCACAATATTTATGCTACATGAAATTATTGTAAACAAAGTACATATTTGTATTAAGTCTAAAATGTGTTGCCCGCTGCTCTCTAGCTGCTCTCCGTCACTTGATTTTACGGTTGTTCTTTCCTTCCTTTCCAACGGAACTTACCCCAAGTGTGCTATTGCAAGGCAAAGCATTGCCAGACCAGAGATCGCTTTAACGATATTTGTCTATTATGCCGCTACTTGTACCCCTCCCCTCACTCACACTTTCCGACTCACTGCACTCTTTCGCTCTCTCCCGCTCGCTCTCTCCCGCTCGCTCTCTCTCTCTCTCTCTCTCTCTGCCGCAGTAGCGCCTAATGTGCAAAGCACAAAGGAGCGAGCCAATCTCGGCATAAACAGGTGACACCAAGAGCGAGAGAGAAGAGGCAATAAACTGCAATGGCATATATCGTGGGGTGTCGCAAGGCGTTGCGATGGTGTCGAGAGAACAAAGGGGGCGGGACGGAACACACAAAGAGTAGAACATTTTGTTAAGGCCACTTTGCGACATTTTAATTTAAATGCTAATCAGTTGCCAATAGAGAAAAAGAGTGAACCTATGTATCGCACCTCCTCAC